TTTTATTTTTTTTATTGTGAAATATTTATTTCTCTTTTTTTCATGGCTTCTTTTTTAATCATTTTATTAGGGGCTCATACAATTCTTATTACCAATATCTCCCTAAAGTCAAAAGGTGAACACCATTCTCTGCTCTCTTGACAGATTGTGATCTATGGAAATGAGTTCGAGAAAAGATTCTTCGCACCTGCCGAAAAAATAGTGATGAACTTGATCAGCATCAGTGTGCTGGATGGGGCTACGGGAAACCAGAAGGATATATGTTTAACGGAAACAAGCGGAGGCTTGTCCGACCTTCTGGACACTGAGGCCAGAGAGGCCCAGGAGGCCCAGCAGGAGGAGGAGGAGGAGGTGAAACACTTAGGGTATGCTTCACACTTGATGGAAATGCTCTGTGGCTCGGAGGAAAACATGGATGCTCCTTCCCTCACCCAGCCAGCGGCACTCTGCAGAGCCAGAGCCACAACCACGGCTGTAGGAACAGTTGTAGAATATGAATACGATGTGCGAATGGCTGACATTTCTCTGGCGCCCGAAGACCAAGAGCTTAAGATGCAGGAGGAGGTGTGCATAGAAGGCATCTTCCTGGAGCAACAGGCCCGTTTGGCAGACAGGGACCCACAGACATGGTTCTGTTCCAGTGCTCCCGAGCTCGGAGACGTAGATCCTGGGACGATCAAGCTCACAGAGGCCCAGGAGGGACTCGAGGAGGAGCCTGCAAGAACAGTGGTCGACTGGGACCCTCAGACTGGCAGGTTGTGTATACCTTCCTTATCTGACTTGGAACCTGACTCGGAGGGAGATGAGAGTCCAGAGGGCAGGGGGCTCCGTGCAGAGGGCCTTTTGTCCAGGTTCTGTAAGGAGCAGGCTGCGGACAAGCTACTGGAAGATCATGAAACATATCTTGTGCAGTTTTTGGAGGACTGGGAATTATTTGTACAAATGGGAGACTAACACCAACGTGTCACTTTGCCAGAGTCTGAGTGAACTCAGATGAGCGCCGGAATAAGAAAGGCCCCTCACTCAGCGCTTCAGGCCTCGGGGAGGATGACTTAGCTCTGCCTCCTACGTGAGGTTGGTTCAGGCACGTGTCCCTCTCGCTGTGATGGTAGCTGACTCATTGCTTTAGACAAAGTAAGAGGCAATGCAATAAATGCTGGCCCCACAGGATGCAGAATGTGCCTAGGCTGGGTTGGCTGTCACCTCCTTGTTGTTTTCTAACAAGCCCCTTTCTACAGTTATTTTCTGGGTGGTTACCCTGTGTCCAGAGGAAAAGTCTGGCCATCTCTTTCTGAAAAATCAGCCCTGGAAACCCCTATGGAGCTGGCTGATACGCTCAAACACAGGGAGTCGCCATACGTCGGAACGGACACCCAGCATTGGTTGGGTTGATTGGTTTTTGACCTTAAATCTGCCACGGATGCCCCGTGGGCCGACGTGGGTTAACTGATGTGATGTGCTCACATACACTCCAGCTCCTTGAGTACCTTCCTATAGCCGTTCCATCTTTGATTCGCCATTGGCTTAAAAATTAAATTTTGCAGCCACCCTGCCTCTACATCTATGAGATGGAGTGCTATCGAGTTGCTGAGACTCAGCCACTTTTGAGCTTCAAGCCTAGCAGCTTCGTGTTTCCCGTGCATACTTGTTTGAACTCTGAGTTCACTGACGGTCCTGCAGGAGAACAGGGGGCCTTTGTGGTCTCTCGTGTATATTTTTGGTGGAGGCAGACAACTTTGACAGGTGAGCTGGAGTGTGGCTGGAGTCATGGGCTTTTGAGATTGTCCATGAAGCCAAACAGCTTCTGTTCTAATGGTTTGATGTCAAGTATAATGATCTTAATCCGTGTTCTGTCCTCAGTCTTTGGCGTAATTAGTCTGCCTGGTTTCAAGGAGCAAATTTATAACCCAAAACCACACTCACTGCCATCGAATGGAAGCCAACTCATATTTATAACACGAAGGATAAAAGAGCCTGGGGGTAGAAAAGAAGGAGTTATTAAGGGCACAAAGAAAATGAAATGACTGACAATAGTTCATGCACGTATTTCGATCACCAGATCTTTATCGCGCATCTACTATGACCTTCAATGTCCTTATCTGAGAACTAAATATAACAACCTTAAATACGTTAGTGCTTATGAGTGATTCCATTATCGTCATTGGGAGCTGTTTTATCTGAAATCATGATTATCTCCCGAGGGCTGTCTGAGGATTGAAAGAACATATAAAGCCCTTACAATGGTCCCTAGCACCTAGCGTGTGCCAAGTCACTGCTTATCGTCTCCATTAACTGTCCGATCATGTGCTCAAATCTCAAAAGCCAAACTCGCTGCCATTGAGTTGATTCTAACCTGATAGGACAGAGTCAAAGTGCGGCTGTGCGGTTTTGAGGCTGTGAGCTTTATTAGCACCTACTTCACTTGCCATACAATGTAATCATTCCGTCACATTAAGATTTGTGTAGTCATCGCCACAATCAATTGCAGAACGTTTTTTTTCTTGTACTTATCGTGGTGAGCTCCCCATTGCCCGCCAACTCCCCTGCCACGCCGCTAGGCAATTTAGCAATCTAGTTACTGTCTTTCTGATCTACCTGTCCTGGATTTCATATACAGAAAATCATACAAAACACAAACAGGACCAAATGAAACAACAACAGCGACTGGCCAAAACATAGAAAAACTCAAAAAGAAAGAAGAAAATATTTCAAAACTGAAACAACTTTAAAACAAGTAGAAAGCCTCGTCTTTCTGCTGTAGAAAGAGACCTCTGATCTGTGGTTAGCTGGTTAGCAGGCCAAGAGAAAGCACTAGAACACCGAGCCTCCTGAGTCATTGTGCAGGACTGGGAGGTGTTCAGATACATGCCTCTTCGCTGGCAGACATTGCCCAACTGTTTTTCTTACCGGAAAACACAATAGTGCTTTGCTTCCTCCTCCACACCTTCAGATTGAAACCCTTCGGTCGTTGGATCGCGTCTCCTGGTACTGTGAAAAGGGATCAGATCAGCGTCTCTCGTCATTCCTGGACTATTTCTCTGATTTGGCAGCTTCAGTACTTTGACATGTCTGTCAACAGAAACACACACGTATTCCAGTGTGAGTGCGCTCAGACCGTAGGTGCGTTTTGTGAGAGGAGAGTTACATCTTCTAGTAGGAGCAAATCATCTGTGTGATGGGAGCCCCCGTGCATTTCAACAATCTTTGGCCAGAGCCTCACCAACCAGAGGATTCCATCCCTCCGCCCCTCGGGTTCCTGAGAAGCTGGCAAGCCAGGGGGTTGGAGTCTTTGACACGTGCTGTAGCTCCCGGCACTAGCTAGGCCTCAACTCTGAGCTCTCCTGGTGAAAGCAGTAGTGGTGGTTAAAGTTACCTGCCAGCTTGGCGCGGCTGTGACTCTCAGCAGTTTGGGAGCTAAAACCAGCTGCTCGTCGGTGATGTAACCACCTTCAGGTGGTCAGTGAATCAGCTGGTCGAGGAGTTTCCTTGAGCGTATGCTCTGCCTCCAGTACGCATGGGGTGCTTCTGGCAGACTGGCCCTCCTGGGGCTGCACCCCTCTTATCACCTGACCTGGTTCTTGGAGCACTAGCCTGTGGGGGGTCTCTAGCATAACACCTGACCTCAGGCTTAGGACATGCCAGCTCCCACAATTGTGTGAGTCCTTTTCTGAAAGAAAACCTGTCTCCAGATAGAGATACACAGCTCACGGAGGATTTTGGTCCTCTCATCCAGAGAGTCTAGCCTAAGACACATCTGCGAGGAGCTCTAGCTCCCCATAAACCCTAAGCAACCTTGTGAATGAAAACATCACCCCTATACAGGGAGTGAAGCCTACTGCTACATCTTGTTTATGAGAAGGGAGTCCGTGAAGGGGGGCATCTGGCTGCTGCCCCCAGGCTGACTTCCGCTCCAAAGAGGTCAGTGTCCAGAAAAACCCTCTGTAAACCCAGGGGAGCGGCATGGTCAATCTACGGAGGGAACTGAACAGAAGGCTAGGTTATTGTGGCTGGGCACACCTGGGTTATCACTCAAATCGGTTCTGGCCCACCTGTCCCCATGCCCAGTCCTTCTGGATAGGTTTTTGCTGAGTTCTCCAGAAAGAACTGTTTGTCCCCCTTTCCTGTCTTGTATTCCGCGCATTATATACATTTTCTCTCTATTGTTTCTTCAAAGGCATGTGCCTTTAATGTTTTTAATAAACAGTGCTATGACCAGTCCATGAGATGAAGTCTCACCGTCCCGTCCTGGCTTCCAGGGAGTAGTTTCGTTGTACTTTTCCCACGACAGATTTGTTGGTTCCTTTGGTAGAGTATGGTACCTGGACAAGGACATCACGCTTGGTAAAGCAGAGGGGCCACAAAAAAGAGGAAGGCCCTCAGCGAGATGGATTGGATGGGCATCGTGGCTGCAACCGTCCGTTCAAACATGAAAACAATGGTGAGGTTGGTGCTGAGCCAGGCAGCACTCCAGCCTGCTGTGCCGTGGGATGCTGTGAGTGTTCCGTCCTGCTGTGCCGTGGGACCCTGTGAGTGTTCCATCCTGCTACTCAAAGGCACCTACCAACAGCAAACACCTGGCTGGTGGCTTCTTTTTTTCTCTATTACAGACGTTCTGTGTAAGGTAGACGCTTGCTAGATGGGAAAACTTTTATCATAGAGTAACCAAGCGTAAATGAGAAAGAAATTAAATTGCTTACCATCACCCCACAGAAGTCTCTTAAGAGGTCAGTGTTTGGCTACTAATCAAAAAGGTCAGCAGTTCAAATCCAGCCAGAGGCAGCTCGGAAGAAAGGCCTGGCAACCTGCTGGGAAGTCAGTCATCAGTGACCGTAGGAAACGCAGTTCTACTCGGGCACACCGGGCATCTCCAGGGCAACTGATTTAGTGTACATATATGCTTAATTAAGAAAGTCGAACCACAAACCCTTCCATTGTTCTGGCTTTCTCCTAGGTCATAATGCATACAGGACAGGTATACAAGATGTACATGTGCATGCTGATCACAAAGCTGCTCTTCGTACACACTTCTGACCCAGTCCAAGCATCCAACCAGCAAAGAGCAGATGCAGGTTGTTCTTTGGATTTCTATGGGAAGGACATGAGCTTAGCATGTCGGCTTGGAGGATGATTCAGTTCGGGAATACCTGAGCTCTGCTAGGAAATGACACCTGGTCACAACCACTTCTGCAGTGGAAGCACTTGTCTCCTGCTCACAGGCGACAGAGCGTTAATAAGCACGAAGACCACCTTCAAGGCAGGCTGTCCCACTGACAAAAATCAAATCGTGTTAAATGAATCCCTTCTCTCTCAGCTGGGAGCCCTGGTGGTGGTTCCGGGTTGAGCCGCAATCCACACGGTCAGCAGTTTGAAACCACCAGCAGCTCCTCAGGAGAAAGACGGGGCTTTCTACTCCAGTACGCAGTTCCAGTCTCAGAAACCCACAGGGGTGGGGAGGGGTCGTTAAGAGTCAGTATTGATTCAATGGCAGTGAATTGGGTTTGCTTTTTCTCTCTGAGCCAGCTAAGAGCTGATCTCTGGTGGTGTAGTGGGTTAAGAGTTGGACTGCTCACCACAAGGTCAGCGGTTCAAAACCACTGGCTACTCCACGGGAGAAAGAGGAGGATTTCTACTCCCATAAAGAGTGCCAGTCTCAAAACCCACAGGGGCAGTTCTACCCTGTTCTACAGGGTCACTGTGAGTGGGCACCGACGCAATGACAGCGGCTTTGACAGGGCACACTGACTTCTGTGTGTAGGAAGGATGAGGGCTTTTGAATGGTCTGCCTTTACAGGTCCGCTAACGGCTCCTTTCCGCAGTGAGCTAGCTGGGTTCCAGATGCCTCGTGACTGACCATGAGCAAACAGAAGGTGTTTACCTTCCTCAGTCCCGTGTTTCCTGCTGGCAGGTTGCCACTAGCTTGCAAAAGGGAAGATTTGTGAAAGAAACGACCGGTTTCGGCTAATCATTCTTGTTAGCAGCCCAGGTGAACTAAATAAAACAAGCTCTCCAACCTGTGGTGGGGGATCTGAGCATCCCATTGTAGCAAGGTCTTGAACCAGCCAGGCTCCCGGAGCATGGGGGAATCACGGTGTTTAATCCAGTGTTTGAATTCCTGGGAGCTGCCCTATGCAAAGGACGTTCATGTGAAACAGGACACTAGACTTGGGCCTGTTGCTTCTGAGACTGGAATTGGGACGAGGCAGAGGCATTCCAAGAAGGGAGGGCTTTCTGTAATTAGGTGTCAAGTCCGAGTCCTGACCATGGAAGGTATGGACTCCCTGGCCCCAGAAGAGGTTAAGCAGTGCCTGGTTTCTGTCAAAAGGATTTCTCCCTTCTCTCCCTCTTCTACCCCAAAGCGCCTCAGAGAAAGACATATGTGGAGTCCTCTTTATTTCCTCTTTCATTTCCCCCCTTTTTCTTTCTGACCAGTTACTGGTTTACTGTTCATCCTGTTGTCCATACATCACTGTCCGCTCACCCTTTCTGTACAGACAAGAGGGTCTTTCTTTGCACGTGACGCATAAGATCTTAGAAGTTTGTCCCTGGCGGCTGCGCATGAGAATGGTGCTCAGAGCTCTCGCTGTACAGCAAAGCACAGTTTAAGGTTAGAAATGTCATTTGGTTGGGGTTTGGGTTTTTTGCTGCCATAATAATTAAATAACCTCCCCCTCTTTCTTTCCTAAATGGAATGTCGGGGTTTATAGGAAACTGACTACACAGTAAGGATCAGAAGCTCCCTTGTTTCTAAATATTTCTTTCAGACTCCTTAGACCAGGACTAGACAGGTGTCAGAGCCGTGCAGTAAATGACAGGTTCAGAGCAGCTTGTGTTTTCGCAACATAGCCTATATCACCTGCAATCCAAATGAACACTATCGATTCTCATCACAGTTTCCCAGAATACCCCCAAAGCAGTAGCACTGAAATGAAGCTTTCTTTGCCGGAAGCATCAACATCTGTAGCTAAATTTAACTTCGACAATATCACATTGCTTATTGCATGTACGGCCTTGGGTTTGCTTAAAGTTGGAGATCGTGTGGTTGTGCCTCCCCAGGGGGTTGAGAAGGCGAAAGTGAGAGGGAAGGGGGCTATCTTCCAGTTCCTAGCATCTTGCAGAGCACAGCCCAACTCAAA